TCAACATTCAACATTCAACATTCAACATTCAACATTCAACATTCAACATTCAACATTCAACATTCAACATTCAACAGTCAACAGTCAACATTCAACATTCAACAGTCAACATTCAACATTCAACATTCAACATTCAACATTCAACAGTCAACAGTCAACATTCAACATTCAACATTCAACATCAATACCAATCATACACATAACAAAATAATCTATTGCCAAAATTATTGTATTACTACAGTACTTGATGAGTTCCTGAAAAAACTAATCTGCCACAACCACTATTAACATCTTGTTGCTGTTACTAGTATTGACCACAGTATGAACAATTTAGTACTTCTTCCACCAAAACAGCCACCAGGCACCATTGTATCTGCAATTCCAAACAACCATTGCACACCAAAAATGCAATGTATCAATATATAAACCCTTACCAAAGGAACACAGAATGAACAAGAACAAACCAAGTGGACCTCTCATGATACACTCAAGAAGCAGAATAATACTAGTAGCTACTATCCTATTGCTGCTTTTCAAAAGCACCATCCAATAATACTAGCAGATATCTTCTACTAGTATTACCATGTCCTCTGCTAGTACTACCACACCACCAAAAGAAGTAATAAGGATACTAGTAACCATTCCCCCAGCAGTGTTGCAAGCTCCAAATCCACTACAAGGATATTAATTCAAGCACCACTTACTTCAATACTAGTAGGATAGAAACAAGATGCTTACCAGTAGTACTAGTAGTACTAGTAAAATAGTAATGACCAAGTGCAATTTCAGAGGAGGATGTCAATAGTATTTGTGACTCCTGTAACAACACAGCAGCATGCAGTCAGTAAGCATTGAAACTCCCCAGCTAACATTTACTGCTTGCCACTTACATATCTTTCCTTTCTTATCTCCCAGCAACCAATCCTCTTAAAGGGATGATCCTAAACTACTACTAGTAGGACTATTGGTGCCCGCAACCTATAGTGGACTAACCCACCAGCAGCATTCCAAGAAACCTACTAAAAGCCTTTCGTGCTGACTTCTTTTCTAGCTTTTCTTCTAATTGAAAAGGTTAAAAATAATGTCATTTGTTTAAACACACCCACACCTTCTTGCTCACAATCTAAAGAACCATTTGATGTGGCTAAAACTCCATGAAGAAGCCCTACTGTTCAAAATTTCTTCAGTTGGCTGCTGCACTTGGAACAATGCATCTAAATCTTCTTCATGATGTTCTATTAAAACAAATTTGACTCATACAACTCCTTAGATTCTGCAAATTCTGAGTGCTGTGAGACCCAAACACAAATAATGTAAATCAGAAGTTGATACTGAGTGAGAATTACATCACTATTTACTGCAAACTACGAAGTACTCGTACGTAATGCGACAACAAAGAGCATGATTATTAGAAATTATACCATTTCGAAAAAGTTAGATTATATCTACTGAATATGGGTACATCATCCATGCTCCGATGACTAACTTGGTCTGCATGCGCATAGATACTGTTGGTACCATGTTAAAAGAAGAGCTATTTTTATCAAGCTGTAGGTTACTGGCACTAGAATTGTTTTGTTACGTTCTGATCCGTATCGACCTTCCACACTCACTTGAATTCTTTCATTACAGCAATTCGTAACGGACCAACTCCTTCTTTCTAATTTCCCTCGTTTTCGATCTACTAGAAGTAGTTGTTGATTCTAGCTTCTAAGAGTACTAAAAAGTACTTCAACTAATCGTTTGATGGTTGGTTTTACGAGCGGAATTTCCCGATAATGTGGAGTACCACAACAGATCCGACAAAGGAAAGACTGGCGATCAAAACAGTGGTGGGTCCAATTTGAAGACCGGGGGAGTCATCGGTGTAGAATTGAAGAATGTTGTTACCGCCCCCAGCAGGTCGGCCTCCGCCACCGCCTCCGGCTCGTGCTGCTGCGCGTCTTTGGGTTGCCTGTTGTGTAGGTTACGATGGGGCGAGATAGGGTGTGACGAAAAAGATAACGTGTGAGAAATTTTATTGTCAAAAAGGAGACTGCCGTCAATAGCTGTTGTGTAGTACAGCAGTGGCATCGATTCATAAGCACGTGATGGGAGAAAGCTTTGCGAAGCGCCATATCACTTGATCCGTGAAAAATCGTCGATACTGGTAAACGAAGATAATGGACTGTGGCTCGCAGAGAATCTTCGATAACACAGTTGTGTGCGGAGAAAGTGGGAGGTGATCAGGCGCTACAGACCGATTTGGAAACGGACTGTTCTATGGCATTTCACTCGTTGAACTCATAAGCTTTGTTTCAGTAGAACCAATGGTATCTTTGATTCAGTGAGTTTGCTGTTATCTTTGTCTGTTCAAAGACATGGTGGTTAAGTCAGATGAATGGATTTTTAACCTGTACGTCGGTAATTGCGAGAACCATTAAGCCTATTCGATGGAAGGATTTTGGTACTGTCGTTATCGAACTTATCCCTGACCTAAACGAAGCGCGGCAGGCATTGCAAATCCGGATCCAACTGTATGCCAAGAAAGTTCCAACGATGTGGTCCAGGTTTCCTCTCTCGTCGCTCCCACCCCACTTCCTTAAATCGAAGCCACTATCCAGCAAGCTACGTATGAATGTCCCTCCCACGTTTTTTCCCGACAAAAAGTCTGCGTGCATTGTTTTCTCGAAACCCGAAATGAGCGTCTCAACCGATTTCGCTCCCGATTTATCCTCTTCTTTTTCATTCATCTATGCAAATGCTTGCTTCTGCAAACTCCTGCTCTTACCATTTTTGTAATATATTATGTTATATATTTGACTTAGTAGTGCCAACAATGTGTTGTAAAAGGCTACCTTTGCTGCGTTTGAATACGTAGTAGGAAATGACTGCGCTCATATTGTTGCCCCTAACGGTAGGGCAGGAAAGGAACACAACCGATATTGGATGCCACTGCACGGTAGGAAGTACGGTACCACTACAAGTACGTACAAGTACTCATACTTGTACTCGTAACTGAGAATGGCAAGAGGGAACTCTGGCTTCTCCCCCCACGCACAAAACTGAAACAAAATTAAAAACAAGAAAACACGAAATGTCGTCGTTGTCTGTCCTTTGTCGAAATGGCAGCCACCGCACACTTTTTTCGTGCGGTTCGAAAGCATTCGTATGTCCGTACGTCATCCGTGTCTATGGCGGAAGCATGCTTCCATATCGACTCGTTCGACTACGAGTACAAGTACTTTGACAGAATTGCGGATCTTTTTTTAAAAAATAAAACCAGATGAGTAATTCCATTAAATCTACCGGTAGATGCGACAGATCTCTTCATGTGCTAGTTTAGACCGCTTATTTAGAACCATCACCAGAAACATCGAGTGCATCGACCATGGATGATAATCCAAAGGCAACCGCAATGCCAACGGCGACAACTGCGACGGCACACTCGAAAAGCAAGGACCTACCGCGAAGAAAAAAACTCCCGAGGCAGAAGCAACCATCCTACTGGATGCTCGCCGGCATTCTCCAGTCGCTTACTTGGTTGTTTGTCATTCCTTTCGTGTGCCGCAGGTATATCTGGGACCAATTATTTGGCGTCCTGATCGAAGCGTATCCAAGCCACGGATTCAATCTTTCGCAACTTTTGATGACAGTCTCTCTCCCCCCACTCGTTTTGGTCTGCTACACGTTGCCAATGGCCACAATCTATGCTGGTCAGTATCCTTTCTTTGAAAAATACAAGATCCATCAATCCAACATGTACCATGATTACTGGCCCTGGTTCCACGCCGACCCCAATATCCGTAAAGAGTTCTGGAAGCTATCGCAACGGTCCGTTAGACTCTGCATTTTCAACATGGCTGTGATCGTGCCTCTTCTGACGGTTTTAAAATTATGGTTCATTGATCCATATGTGTTAGATGCCTTCTACTCTGAGCGCCAGAAGCTCTACCATAATCATATGTTTAGCACCAGCGACGAGCACTGGCCGTCGAATAGCGAAAATCTACGGGGCATACTTGCCCTGACGCTGATCCACGAATTTGGTTTCTACGCTACCCACAGACTAATGCACGCCATCCCGTTTCTGCACAGGTACCACAAAGTCCACCATGAATACAAGACCAACACGGTGCTTGCGGCTCAGCATAATCACCCCGTGGACTACGTACTTTCAATTGCAGGACCAGCCCTGCTGTCCTTAACACTAGTGCCTGCTTCGCACTCGGTGACCCAGTTCCAGTGGATACTGTGGGCGCTGTGCGCCAATATGGACGATCACTTGGGGTATGCATTTCCGTGGTCGCCAGTCCGGTGGTTTCCTTTCGCTTCTGCCACAGAGGAACACGAGTTTCATCACTCTCATAACAAGGGATGCTACTCCTCGAAGCTGTCCGTGTATGGTTCATTGCTGGGGGACTATGGGGCTTACCATAGGTTCTACTATAGCTACGATAATAAGCCCAGCCGTGCGAGCAACACTATCAACAAGAACCAATAGATCTCGTGAGTTGGATATGGGGATCCCGGGTTGGGGTAGTAGGGGGAATTAGTATGATTGAGATAGTTTATCAAAATTTATTTAATGGTATAATTAGTGTTATGATTTAAAATCGTAACCAGTAGAGACTTGAAATCTGTGGGACATAGACAAAGAAACGAATCGAGCAAATGGAAAAATATTCCGAGAGAGTTTCTTCACCACAAGTTTTGATTGATGTTCCCTTGTACGATGGAGTTGAATCAACTACTACGCAGAGTATCATTCTCTGTATGTATGTTGATCTGTCTTCAGTCAACTTGACAGATGATGTCCAAAAACCGTTACGATATTCTAGTATTTTATTGTATCGAATTGGGAAGATGCATTCAATTGATCGACCATCGAACGACCCCTTGATCTCTTCTCTCGGTGTTCGAAACGTCGCATTTGGAGTGTCTAACCTTTTAACAGTCGGATGGTACTGTATTGGTTTATTTCTCCATTGTTTGTGGATAGCTAGTGTATTTCCTTTCGCAGTGACCGGTACACATTCGAAGATCTTTTTAAGTCGGCACAATTTTTTGTACATAGTGATTTGTGCCTGCTTTTGTCATGATAATGTGCTGGATCGAATTTATTCTTGCAGAGGGAGATTGGATTGTAGCAGCTGGGATAAAAAATCGTCCGCCATATTGTGGGCTTTCAGGAAGCGACGCACACGTGAGACGCCAGACCATCGCCACACAAATTCATGCTGGAAGAATTGTTTCTGGGCCGGATTGGACGATCTCGACCAGCGGTACAAATCATGAAAAACCTGTAGCAGCTCGTCGCTCGAGTTCCGCTTATAGGATGTGTTGCGATCGAGTAGACCCAGGGCGCGGTCGATGTGTTCGGAAGTGAGCGGTGAATCGATGAAACGTGGAATGGTGTGGGCGGTAGCCAAGTCAGACGGAGTTGGTGGAGGAAGAACTCCATCTTCTTCGTCTTGCTCATCAGTATGAACCAATTGCAGCGGAAGAGGAGGAGGGCATACTCCGTCCTCTTCGTCGTGGCTATGGTACGTTACGGTATTCGCATTCGCATGATTCTCCGTGTTTCTGCTCGGGAACTGTGACTCCGTGGCAGTAGTGGATTTTGGACTCGGCGACGGAGGTAACACAAACACGCGAGACGTAGATCGCGTGGTGGCACTCTTCGACGGCAGCGGTGACGAGAGATGGTCCAAGGGAAGGGAAAAATCATCCTCGTTTGATAGGCGTCGGCGTTTGGCATGAAGCGGTTGCTGTTGCTGTTCCTGCTGCTGTTTACGATCGCAATCCCACATTCTATCGTCTCAGTCAAACTTTTGTCTTGCTTGTTAATTTGCTTTTGAATTTGAACTATCTGCTTCTACTACTTCGGGAAGATATTGAGTGCTCGCCGTCACAAAACAAGAAGAATATAACAACCCTCCTCCTAACTCGGAATTGTGCTGTCGGTTGAACGGGAGGGGATTGGCGGCACGTACGGTACGTAAGTACGAGTTACGTACTACGATCCTCGATTCGTGTTATTTTGTCAGAAGCGACTCCACGATCGTTTGGTTGTGTGGGTGCCGTGTATCGAACTGGTAGTCATACTCCCAGTCGGCTATCGTGGATTGCGCGCTGATGATGGTGTCGAGAACTGGCACTCAATCGATAACGACAGATGCAGCTTTTGATGTTTGTTTTCGCCTAACGTATCTGCACTTAGGAAGATGCATATGGTAGGTACGTTCGAAACCCGTTAAAACGCTTCAAGAACGATCACATCGATAAAATTCTGTTTTTAGTGATCACACTTCCTCTTGTGTTAGGAGTCATGCGCGTGCGAGTGCGCGGTAGAACAAAAAAATGAGATTGATGACAAGAATAGTAATGAGATGATGTCTTGGTAAAAACCTGGGTCGCATTCTGGGTCATTAGGTAAAGAAGTAATGTAACGTACTTCTACGCAGTGTTCATAATTTAGAAGGGGGGGGGCGCATTGCATCGAAACTCATACCCGTATTCAATGTGAGGTCGCAAATAGAAAAATATCACCCCAGCAATTTTTCTCAATTACTTCGTACTATTTTACTGCATAATACAAGTAAAACTATTCAACTTTCAATTATTATTATTATTATTAGTAGTAGTAGTAGTAAGAACTTCATCAAAACTAAAATAAAATGACCTCTTACACAGGTATCTACTACTAGAGGACCACCCCAATAGCACAGACTACATTGACCTCCCTCTTGTTCTTCCCTTTTGGCTTGCTGCCACTGGTGGGGTAACAACAAGGAGGAGGAACTTCCATGATCTCATTGTTGTTGTTGGCAGTAAACTTATTGTATACTGGAGCAAACACATTGATAAGCTCCCTGAAGACCATGTGATCTACAGCACCACAACAGGCAGTTCAGTACTAGTGCTTCTTGTTGATCAACAAGGCCTGAGTGAAAGAGATGGAGGAAGGAGGAATCAGCATATCTCCAGATTGTAAGCCTCAGAGTTCTCCTGTCCCTCTGATATCTATCTTCTGGAGATAGTTTGTTTTTGTAAGAACTTCTTTTTGCTGCTCGTCTCTGTTCCACTGGATGTACCAGCAGTACATTGTAATAACCTCCATGACTCCCATTGTCGTGGTGATCTTTCTTCTTGCTAGAAGGAAACTGTAGTCTATTACTAATGCATTTAGCAGCGACTTGTGCAAGGAACATATATATTTTTGCTATGAATGTGGGGGAAAGGAAGCACAATGCCAGTATGGGGATGAAACACAAGGTATTCCATACGCCACTGGTAATCTCTCGGAACAGATGTTGCTTTCTCACCCGGAACTCTGCCGGTGCAGAGAAGATACAGAGTGTTCGGGTGGCGATCACCCCGTACTAAGGAACGGTAATCCGGAGCAAGAGATCCG